CCCCCCCCCCCCCCCTACCCCGCTCCGACACGAAAGTAGTTCAACCGCGGCGCCCCCTTCCAAGCCTCGAACGGGGACGAAACGCCCTCGTGCCCCCGCCGCGGCGACAGGGCAGAGCAGAGTGAAACTGCCGCCGCCACCGCCGGCATCGGCATCCGCGGCGCGCGGCGGGCGAGAAAACATGCGTCAGAATCATCACCCACTCCGCCATCCACTGGGCGTCGGGGGGCTCGGTGCACGTGAGGCGACGGGCGGGAAGCGGGATGGGTCTGTTGCGAAGGCACGTGGTGGAGTGGAGGACCAGCTTTGGCCGGATAAGCACCGCCCGAGAGACATCTCGTGTCTGGCGGTTCACTCGAAGAAGGTATTTACCTGGGGTGTCTTGTCTGCTCCGCTGCGTTATGCTAGGGCGTTGGATTGGTACTGTTTTTCACGCCATGAGAGCAGAAACTTCATGTGTGTTGGTACGGTACGTGTTAGAGGTTGGCGTCGTCTCCACTGGATGTTCGGTTTCAGCGCAGGTTTGATTGGTTTGGTGCCGGTTTGTGTGTTCTCTTTGGGTTGATAATGAGGGTTTCAGTGAACGTTTATTTTTTGGGGTTACCCTCGAATCTTTGCCGAAGAAAGGCTATCTTTTGCTTTCGGTGTCCATGGAGACGAAGTCGGGCCAAATCCACCCCATAGACACTGTGCAACGGTGACGTACCCTCACCTCTCAAATCCAACCCCAACCTTGCCCCCACGCCTCTCCAACGGTCGGTGGGTAAAACGCCTACTCTCAGGTGGATGAGGTCCGACACTGGATGACCCTGGCGCTCGCCGCGCGGCCGGGAAACGAGGAGGCTTGCCGTGTGTTGGCCCTAGTGGGACCCCCGGGCTCGGCGAAATCGACCATGGTTAGGCTGCTGGCCCAAGACATGGATGTCGAGCTGGCGGAGTGGCAGGTAGGCGGGATTATGGGTTGGTTTTTGTTTGCCACGGGAGGAGTAAGGGCGGGGGGGGG